GAGTGCAAGAAATTTTGCTATAGTGTGTGTGAAACCTCCTCCACCAGAATTAACAGTAAATGTCGGGTTCTCTCTTTTAAAGATAGGGTAGATAATGAAATCTAAAGTTGCAACAAAATGGAACCCATTTATCAGATACCAACGGTCAAAAAACACAAAATCTTCAGAGAATTTCTCCCAAACACGCGCTTAATATAAAATGCCTAGTCTAACAGTCTATAATTTCTTGTTTAATTCAAAATTCATGTACTACTAGGTTTCCAAAGTTATATTAGGACAAGCTTGAATAACCTTTTAGAAAGCTCCTTAGGGTGGGGTAAAAACTAGGGGTACATATCTTCATTGAGATAAAATAATACTTGTCATAGTCTTGATTGACGATATATCGGGAGATGGAAGCACAGTTAATGCAAAAATCCCACTGGCCACAGCTGCCACAGCCCCGGCAATGAACGCCGGTAAGTTACCACCTCCGAACCATTCATCCCATGGTCCGGCCACTACCGACACCACCATCTGTCCCAATAAAGAAAATCCAAATAAATAAAATGCACACACCATAAATTGATTCATATCTTTTATAATATCTTAAACTTTTGGAAATGAGAAATCAATCCAATATGATAGATAACAATGAGGTCATTCCGTTTGAGCATCAAACAAAATGTCATTTTTTGAAAACCATGATTCTTGTATTTCAGTTAAACTGAAAATATCTTAGTTCAACTTTTTAATTTTCTCCCACGGAAATTTGAGGAAAATAACTATTTATTTTCACGTGTCACACATTTTCCACAACGCATTGCGCGTTTATCACGACAGTAACAATAATTTCTTCTTTTTTATAATTTCGGATAAAATTTATGGCCAATTTTCGCTACATAACAAATCAAAAAAGAAGTTATTTTCAACATAATAATGATATTTTACCTGGGGTATAACAATGGCAAGATTTAGAACTCCTAGTGATAGACCTGTGGAATGAATTAGATTAACAAAAAAGTTAAAAATATATATATATAAAAAATGTTTTTTTTTGGAAAATTTTGCAGTAATACCTTGTCCTGCACCGTGCTTACTAGAAAATATGGATGCCAAAGCAAACGGAATACTAAAAGTCACCTGTTTAGACAATTAAGAAAAATATGTATGTCAAGACTATAATGTCCAAATATAAAAGATGTGAGTTTTGAATATTATTCTTTCTATCAACTAGCTCTTGATTTTATTTTAAAATTTTTTGTCGAAATTGATCGATCTCCACGTCAAATGCATTAGCACCTCTCCAACCCGATAACCCAAAAGAAGCAAACCTAGCTAGCTGGCAATCCTTTAACACTAAGACCTTTAGGCATTAAGTACGAAGTGATGGGAACGAACGAAGGAACATGTGAATGCAAAAGATTGTATAGATAAAATGAATTTTGATGGTTCACTAGTTGGGATGGCAATTCGTTACTCTGGGATAAAATGGTAGAACCAACAGAAATGAAACGGGGGATGAAAGTTTTTTTTCCCGGATAAAAAACATTTCTCTTTTGGGTTTTTCATAACTCCATGGATATGAAGAAGAGAAATGCTATTCTTAGCTGGATCACGACATAACTTTTACTTGTTCAAATAAAAATTAAGGTGAAGTAGGGTTAAACACGACAGATCTCTTTACGATAAACGAATCCATTTTACAAGTTCGTTGCATTGAGGATGTACGACTCTCCTCTCCCATGTTAGGTTTGAGAGGACAAACACTTCTTACAAGTACCGAGAATTCATGGGTGGAAGACATTGAAAGATAAAAGAAACAATCATGCTACATGTACATTTGTTTTTATATCTAGTTTGACATTGTGCCACGTGTCGCAGCATAAGTGGCCAGTTTTAAAACAAAACACACTTTCCTGTCCATTCATTTTTGAATTTGTACACAGTGCCATCCACATTGTCATCTATGGAATGTACAAGAAGCTTTGTTCTAAAAGGAAACAATCATGCTACATGTACACTTTTTTTGACATCAAGTTTGACATTGTGCCACGTGTCGCAGCACAAGTGGCCAATTTTAAAACAAAACACACTTTCCCGCCCATTCATTTTGAATTTACACAAATATGGTTACTTTAATAGATGTATGAAAATTGGAAAAGGAACATGTGCAAAATTGTGAAAATTGCAATTATCGTATTAAATAATATGTACGGTTACCAACTTTGTTTTTTCACCTACAATCATGCTACATGTATACTTTTTTTGACATCAAGTTTGACATTGTGTCACATGTNAATGTCATCCACATTGTCATCTATGGAATGTACAAGAAGCTTTGTTCTAAAAGGAAACAATCATGCTACATGTACACTTTTTTTAACATCAAGTTTGACATTGTGCCACGTGTCGCAGCACAAGTGGCCAATTTTAAAACAAAACACACTTTCCCGCCCATTCATTTTGAATTTACACAAATATGGTTACTTTAATAGACGTATGAAAATTGGAAAAGGAACATGTGCAAAATTGTGAAAATTGCAATTATCGTATTAAATAATATGTATGGTTACCAACTTTGTTTTTTCACCTACAATCATGTTATATGTATATTTTTTTGACACCAAGTTTGACATTGTGCCACATGTCGCAACACAAGTGGCTAGTTTTAAAACAAAACAAACTTTCCCGTCCATTCATTTTTGAATTTACACAAATATGGTTACTTTAATAGACGTATGAAAATTGGAAAAGGAACACGTGCAAAATTGTGAAAATTGCAATTATCGTATTAAATAATATGTACTGTTACCAACTTTGTTTTTTCACCTATATGTGACGCAATATTGCTAGAAGTTATGTGCCATAATAATTATGTTAAAGCACGTTCTGAGACGAAAGGAGAGAACTCACCGCTTGAGGAATGCCAAGAACTGCAAAGAGAGTCAAAGCTCCCACCTTGACACCGGCCACCGGCTTCAAAGTGGCGGTGTGACCACCACTAGTGATGGTGTGCCGTCGCGTAGACTCGGCCACTTTGGTAATCACAACCGTCATGACCAGGCATAAGGCCAGCAAGAAGTTGACAATGCCCCAAAGTCTCTTCGACCCGCCAAGTCGCCGCCCGAGAAACTCGACTGCCAAGGAAGTGAATCCCAACACCACTGAGTTGAGCACTAAACCGAGTGCACCAGCCCGCACACCCTTGTCATACAACCCGTTGTCACCCACCGTTCCGCCAAAAACCTCCCTCCCCATCCAATCAGTATCAAACAACAAGAAAGGAAACCAACCAACCCAATTCAAACAAGTCACCAACATTAAAATCCACATAGGCCTAGGCAAATCTTTTAAAGAAGCAAACAATTCCCCAAAAACAGGTATCTCACCTCCCTTTTTACCACCCTCCAACCCACCGCCGGTTTGGTCCGCCGTCGAAGGGGCAGTGGCCTTTTCATGTACCATGGTTAAAGCCAATATTGAAAGGGTAAGTAAAAGGGCTATTGAAAGGAAAAAACAGCTCTTTAGATTTGCACAGTAAACATCACAAGCTTTTGTCTTTGAAAATGGAAACATCTTGTAGAGATGAGTATATGAACCTGCACCATACCCCAAAACATTGCCAACAGCCATGAAAAAGGAGAATAGTGCATTTGCCATTGCCATTCTACGTGCACTGCCACCAGAAAGATCAGCCAAGAACGCTCTACAAGGACCCTGAAAAAGAAGAAGGAAACAAAGAAGATAATTAAAGAAGTTCTTACACAGAAGAAGATCAAGAAAATCCACAAAAATAATTCGGATTATGCATGAATTTAAGAATTATTACACATATATTACTTTTATGTCTTTGTATATATAATTTACCTGCAACATGTTGTTGGCCACATCAAGGATCCAAAAGCCAACAACAAAAACAGCAATTGCCCGGGGCTTGGGGGAATTTCCGAGGGAGTCACCGGAGGAGTGGCCAAGATCGGCAGCAAATCCAATGAGGAAGACTGCTATGGCAACAAGGGCAGATCCAGCCGCAATAAAGGGGCGGCGGCGGCCAAACCGGGAGGAGCAGTTGTCACTGTAATGACCAACTACGGGCTGCACGAGCATGCCGGAAACCGGGCCGCAGAGCCAGATGTAGGCGGCCCATTTGTGAGGTATGCCCAGTAGCTGCACATATGGAGTCAGAAGAGAGAGCTGTAATGCCCACCCGAATTGTATTCCGGCCGCTATCGCGGCCACCATTATGATCTTCCACTGTGGCTCTCGCGGTGGCGCTGGTGGTTGTTGAAGTTGTAAAGAAGTTGCAACATTTTTCACTCGGCCACCGACCTCCATTCACTTCTCCCTCTCTCTAAGAAAAATTATACGTATTATCTATCTATAATTACTGAGGATTCTTGAGGTTTAGTGAGAGGGACTGGGGGAGGAGTGTGGCTGTGTGGGTATTTATAAGGCTTTCGAACTGCCATGCACGAGTCAACTAGGAAAACGAAATCTTATCCGTATAGTATAGTATGAAAATGAGAAAGTATAAAATTAAATCCACCCATTAATACAATGTCAATGAATTCACCATAGCAGCTTTTGGTGTCAACCTAAAATTATTGTGTTCGGTGGAAAGGAGTTATTATCACATTGTTCAACACATAAAAATATATTATAATTTTATTAGATAAAGGGAATCCGCTAATATATAGGGCTTGTTTGGACCAAATTTTAATCTGATTTTATTTTAAATCAAAGTCAAACAATCAACATCAACTATATCTTTTATGTGTCTCACACACATTTCAAAAACTTCTATCACAATCTACTTAAAATCTGATTTTAATGTACACCAAACACTCTCATAGATGTTAAGAGAATCATGCTACGTAATTCGTGACATAATATCATGTGACACTTCATCATTAAATTATTTTGAACAAAGTTAATTTTTCATTCAATCACATCTTACCAATTAATATCATGTGTCATTCGCTTTCTGTCAAAGTGGCATAACATATGCTAAGAATAGTGGGGGTTCAAAAATATATTTCTTATTTCTGAATGTGGATAAGTCTAAGGTTTGTTCATAGTAGATTTTTAAAATTTATCTTTCTCAAAATTATTTTCAATCAAATATTTAATAATTTTTCCTCTACTTTTAATCATATACGAAAAGAAAATTGTCACTTTAAAAATCTCGGTCAAATCAATCTTAAAAATTAGAATAATGCTGAGACCACTCACAAAGGAGGTAGAGTCCATGATTTTAAATATTGCAAGCTCCACCCTCTCGTGAGAGTGACTGTTACTCATGATGTACACCCATCTAGCATTTCTCTTGTGAGATTTATGATTGTCACAATCTGCCTATTTTAGGTTGGAAGTGTCGCACAATCAAATTTTATATTTCTTAATTTTTTTTAGTTTTTTAACATAATATATGGAAAAATCGAAAACTTAGTCGTCATTGTGGAGTTGTTTGCTCGAGAAGGCTAGAGACCTATAATCGGTACAACCTGCCTCTCTGGGTTTCATAATATACCACAGCCAAATTTTGCTACTTTCAAATATTTTTATTTTATTTTTGTTATATGTGGAGATCAATACAAGTTCAATAATCTTGAAGGTTTATTGCGATCAATTTGTTGAAATTATTTAAAAAAATAAAGTGCAAAGATGTGCTAATATGCCAAAATCGAATTGTACTGATACGCACTTCTGCGTCTAATAGTTTTCACATTTGGTTTTTGTGTAAAATTCACCGATGGACATTCAACTTTATACTTAATATCACCATGACCACTCAATTTGATTTTATTTCACAATGACTACCCAATTTCATAAAATATTTCACCGTGGCCACCTAACTTCTTTTTACCCTTTTCGCTAATTTTCAAAAGGGGTAAAATGGTAACTTTACATTATATATATACAATAAATTTAAAGAAGAAACAAAAATAAATTTTTTTTTTAGAAAAAAAACATTTTTAAATAACTTTTTATTTTATTTTATTTGTCTAATTATCGTTTTTTTTTTAAATTTTTATTTTATTTTAAAAACTTTTTAAAAATAATTTTTTATTATATTTTATATTTAAGTAACTTTTTTAAATTTTAAAAAAATAAGTTTTTACTTTATTTTTTGAAGTAACTTTTTTTAAATTAGTTTTAATTTTATTTTATTTTAACCAGCATTTTTTAAAATAAGTTTTTATTTTATTTTTTAAAGTAATTTTTTTTTAAAAAAATTAGTTTTTATTTTAACCAGCATTTTTGAAAATAAGTTTTTATTTTATTTTTAAAAAAATTATTTTATACATATATAATGCAAAGTTACCGTTTTCCCACTTTTAAAATTAGTAAAATGATGAAAAGAAGTTGGGTGACAATTGATGGATTTAGCTCTTTGTTGTTTTTTTTACAGGTTACGAAATTGGCTTTCAAAGTTGTTCTTCAATTTTAGTTCAAATAAAACCGATCATTTTTATTCTTATGACATTGATTAAAGAAAATGTGATAATTTGCAAACAAGAATGATTATAATAAATTTAGATTGATTATATGAATTGTTGATTTACTTCGATGATACAAAATATTCTCTTAAGATCACAATAAAATTTATACACACTCAACATTTTCAGCATCAAAATATTTGGTGTTTGTTCACCAATAATTCTATTTATCATCAATTTAGATTGTCACAATTGACACGTTCAATTAAATGAATGATGTAATGTTGCATTTAATAAGTGATTGTATCATTTAATGACATGCAATATCAAATAAATTCATGTTTGACACCAATGATACCAAATATCATTATTATTGACTACTATGTGAGTGGGCCATTATCCAATTCCAGTGTGCACTCCAAAAAATACAGTGACCAACAATCCATTGTCTTTAGGAAAGAGGTCATAACTACAAAAGTAAGACTCAGAGAGTGACTGGTAAAAATTGACCATCTATTGCTGCAACCTAGATTTCTACATTTTGGAAACTGTGCCGCTAGCTGGTATATATGAAATAAGAGTTTGTTTGATGGTAAAAGTGGAAAAAAAATCTTTAACAGGGAATTGAGAATTGTAATTAATTGTGTTTGATTGATATAATTTTTCATCTGGAATGTTGAAAGTTTGGTGTCCGTTTAACTTCTTTTTTATGAAAATT